CAAGCAGATATACTGACAGAAAGAATCAATGAACTACCATGGGGCTCCACAGTAGTTCAGTGAGAACTGCAAGCAGAGAGCCGCAAAGGACTCTAAATGAATGACACAGCCATGTAGTAGGCAGAGCCCTACACTGCTGTGCGTTTTTTAAAAAGTGACAGCTGGCAGTTGAACTTCTCCCTGTTCTGCTGTCACGGGTGGGGGGATGGATGCCTACAGGGTAATGAAAGGGTCAAAAAGGGAAGCAGCCCCTGCTCTGATCTGTTTTTACAGGTGCATGCTACAGGGATATGTGGCTGGGTCTGGCTTTGCAAATAAGTCACTGCCTATTCTAGAAACAGCACGCAGAAATGTGCCAGGATGCCCAATATACACAGGCTTGTTTTGAAGTACTGGAGATGGTCTGCATTTACTCAGCTAGTCAGGGACTATCACATTGTCAAAAGCCTATGCCTTCGATCATATGCGCTTTGTTGAAGGGGAGAATGTTCAAGGTTACCTGTTCAGACAAAAATATAAAAACTAGCTTGTTTTTCAAGGTGCAAGCTCTGAGTTTATCATCCTAACCATTTTTCTAACTTGAGCTTTTCCAGCAAGTGGCGGCTGCAGTTGCATATACAGCAAGCAGCAGCAACTTTATCCCAATAGATCCTCTTCTGAACTAGCTGAACCTCTCCTTCTGAAGAGATCATGTCACCAAATAGATAAAACAATACAGCGCTGATAAATAATGACTAAAGACTCTCTAAACTCTTAACCACTTGCCCTCTTGTACCCCCCTTCCTGACCAGGCCATGTTTTGCATTACAGCTGCATTACTTTAACTGCCAATTGCACAGTCATGCAACGCTGCACCCAAATGAAATTTATGTTCTTTTTTTCCCACGAATTGAGCTTTCTTGTGGTGGTATTTGATCGCGTGTGCGGGTTTTATTTTTTTGCGCTATAAGCAAAAAAAGACAATTTTGAGAAAAAAAAAAATATTTTTGCCATTAAACATGTCCAGTAAAAAAAAAATACAAAAAAAATTTAGACATCAATTTAGGCCAAAATCTATTCTGCGACATGTTTTTGCTTAAAAAAAAAAAAAAAAAAAATCCCAATACGGGAAATTAATTGGTTTACGTTAAAGTTATAGCGTTTACAAATGGCAGTACAGATACAGGGATTTTTTTTTCCTACTAGTAATGGCAGCGATCAGCAACTTTCAGCGGGACTGCGGCGGATATTCTGACACTGGGGAGAACTAACTTGATGTCACCGACATCCCCAGTGACACAAACACAGTGATCAGTGCTACAAAAAAAAAAAAAAAAAAAAAAAAAACTGACTGTAATAATGCCACTGGGCAGAAAGGGGTTAATGTGAAGGGCGATCAAAAGGTTAATTATGTGCTGGGAGTATTTTTACTAGGGGGCGGGGGGGGTGTGTGTGCTTTACTGTAAGTACACTGATCGGGATGGCTGTGCTGTGCTGTGTGTCCTAGATTGTAAACTCGAAAGACAGGGCCCTCAATCCCCTCATGTTTTGCATTGTATTGGTATTGTTCTGTCACATGTTCTGTCCCCCTTTGTAATGTACAGCGCTGAGCGAACTATTGGCGCTTTATAAATACTATATAATAATAATAATGTGTAAGCGCAACATGCACACACAAAAAAATCTAACACACCAATATTTTGTGGTCTTTAAATTTCCTCCACCACGTGATAATGCAGGAAAGGAATATTCAACACCAAGTGCCCTCCACCACACTTAAGCATGCACTTTCGATAAGTGCGTTTCCAAACTAAAAAGATGAATCAAACAGCTCAGAGCAATAGCAGTACAGGCTACTTAAAGTGGTAGTAAACAAACAAAAACAAACCATGGGCCCAGAGTAGTTTACTTGCCTTAAAACGAAGCCCTCCAGGGACGAACTGTCACCGCAGACAGAATTTCCATCTTCACCCAGTCTTCCTTTCAGGTTCGCGGGCTGTGGCTGACTGGCTTAAGCATGTATTGCAATATGTGTGAACTAAATATCCCTATTTATTGCATAGTCTGCTTGAAAGGGTATATACCAGTGTGCAGAGGGTCCTTCAGAATTTCTGGTGTTAATATGTGCTTACACCCCTTTATCACCTGATGGATAAATGCATGCACTAGCTGTTGGGATTTGAGCACAGGTATCTCTAGTTTGTTTGACTGGCTGGCTGAGCCGCAATGATGTCACTCCCGCACACGTGTGAGGGAGTCACGGTAACCGCACAGAGCTGAGTGACGTCACTGGCTGAATCCTGTGTAAATATTTCCTAAACACTGCAAATTTAGGATATATTCACTGTACCTGCAGGTAAGCCTGATTATAGACGTACCTGTAGGTCCAAGGTCAAAAGCGGAGTTTACCATCACTTTAAAACACAACTTTCTCACCCATCAACAATTCGTCTCCCAGGATACACATGTGGATATCAAAAAGACACTTCCATAGTTTAATACTGTCAAGCATACTTTATTAAAATCACACAAAACTCTGGGGATGGAGACATGTGCCTTGCTGTGTTTCCATCTATGGATCCTGTCTGTGTTCAGCAACGAAGGCTGGTTCTGCCAGTTGAACGCTTGTTTGATTGATGTTGTATGCTCATTAACAAGAGTTTTTATGTGATTCTATTTTGTGTGGTTTTAAAGTATGCTTGGCAGTGTTACACTAAGGGAGTGTCTTTGATATCCACATGTGTGTCCTGGGTGGTGAATTGCTGGAGAAAGTTATGTTTTAAGTGGAAAGCCTGAACCACCATTACTCTGATTCTGGAGTCATCTGAGCGGAGTTTGTCTAATCCTTTTTAGTTGGGCATGCACTTTCACCAAGTGCGTTTCCAGAGTTCGGTGGAGGGTACTTGGTGTTGATTACTTTCCTGCATTATCACAGTCGAGAAAATTTAAAGGACTATACACCATTGGACATCTGTTGTACATACATATATTTTTTTTGTGTGCATGTTGAGTTTACATTTAAATACATCACGTAAGAGTTAATAGATTCGTTATTCGTTTATATCAGCACTGTACTGTTTTGTGAGGGGCGTTCAAGTCAAACTGGGACTATTAACTTTATAATAAAAAGAACAAATTTCAAGGAGTCGAAACTGCACTTATTTTTCCAACATACTCCCCTGCTACATTTATATAATTATCCTAGCATTTAACTAATGGCTGGAAAGCTTCGGCATAGAAAAAATTTGTGAATACGTCTGAACCATCCTAGAACAGCTGCTTCACTTTGTCATCGATGCTGAAATTCTTCTCTTGTGCATTTTCACAAGTTATGCATCGAATATCCAGGGTTAGGCATTCCACGTGCTGAATGTTCATGGGAATGGCTGCTGTGCGCTGGGAACCACCGCAGTATTGTTACTGACGGATGTACAGCCATCTCTGAAACGTTTACACCATTCAAATGTCTTATTGTGGCTGAACATTTCATCACCGTACTGTAATTGAAGTCTTCTGTAGATATTCGCAGGTTTTATGCCTTCGCTCATAAGAAACTTCATCACCACACACTATTCCATGCACACACCAACAATGTTGTCTGCCATCTTGATTACTGGTCTCTGGACTGGCCCGCGACATGTGCGCTGCCTACCAGTAATAGGACACTTGCCACTTACTACTGTGTGTCGTACCGCCACGCTAGCATAAATATATATATTTATCTGTCTCTGCTGATCATTTCACACTTTCATTTTCGGGGTATTTTTTGCACTTGGTGCAGAAGGGTTGTGTTTATCATGTCACCAAAAACCTAAGCCTTGTGGGAGCGGGAAATCTCATCAACTGAGACACAAAGCAGATGGTTCAACCCACTGGTCTTGTTCAATTTTGGGGAAATTCAAACTTAAAGTGGTTGTAAACCCTTACCTATACCCAGTGAAGTGACGGGCCTCAAGTGGCGAACACAGTTGAAACAAATCCTCCTACATAAGTTATACCTGTTTATCCACAGCTGTCTTTCCCCTAAATCCATTGAAGTGCTGAATTTACACAGGAACTCCCAGCTCTGAAAAGCAGGGGACGGGGAGCTGAAGTTACATCAGTGAGGAGCTGATTGGATTGCACAGGAACAGACCTTAGGGGAGGGAACATCCTGTGATTGACAGCCTGTCACCATTTTTCTCTAGGCATCAGGAAAACTAATCAGAAGTGACTCACACTTATAGCAGAGGAATAAGGCAACAGGCAGCAATGACACTTTGTACTCTGGATTGAGACAAGTACTCACTACATAGCAAGTCTTAAAATTTGTTCTGAGTGTAGGAGCCAACTAAAAAAAGTTAGAAGCCAAGTGCCTGAAACTGCATTCCCAGGGCCATGAGCAATAGGAATTGTTCATGCCTGAAGCCAGATGCACAGAGGAGTGCCACTCACCTGGTAGGACTTTTTACCTCCCATGCTCTACTGTGAAGGACCAGGAGATCTGGAGCGGAGGGGCCCAGACAGCGAGGTGGGAGCAGGCAACTGCCCCAACCGCAATTATCCAACAGCCCAGCAAACTGTCCACCCCTACACTTGACCACTTCGGCCAATCACAGGGCGCCCATCGCTGAACTCGGAAAGCCAGGGAGGCTCAGGCTGCTATTGGATGAAGAGCAGCAGCCTGAGCATCAGCCTGTCACTCCTTGCATTGACTGCACTCAGTGATCACACAGCACACTCAGGTGCGGAACAATGAATGGACTGACAACAGCCTAGGCACCAGGATACAATTTCTAGTCGGCCTGGCGCCTGAGATTTGTCGAGCTCTGCTATATAGAGATATGCTTTGTTTAAATTTCAGGTCTGAGGTTTACAACCACATCAATCTCCATTTATAGCCGAGGAAAAAAATAAAATTAGTACTGATAGTTACTGGGTTTCCTAGGTCTGCAGCACCATGTCACTGTAAAATTCTATCCTCACAACAAATTATGCATTAGATACAAGGACATTTTTGAAGTGGAAAAGTTGATGCTTACCTGAGTAGCTACATTTAACAATGCTAGTCTTCCATTTTTTGATATTGTGAATGACATGATAGGATGATCTTCTTGTACTCTGAAAATAGGCAAGGCCAAAATATAAGGCATACATTTATACTTGACATCAGGATACTCAAGATGAGCTGCAGTTTTATTTTATTGTTCTAATGGTGCATGGGCAGTGTTGTATCAGGCTGCTGTAGCTTGGAAAAGACTCTACATTACCCACCAAGGACCATCTTAGAGGAGCTGCTCAAGAACGGATCTCTCACAAGACTCTGCATATAACTGCCGACAGGCAGCAGATCCCAAAGTGGCAAGGCTGTATAGAGTCTTACAGATATAGGGAGAGTGCTGTCATATGAAATTAGGCTGAAGATTAGTAGTGACTTCCACCCATAGGCATAGTTCTAGAAAATCTTATTTGACGTTTCAATGATTTGTTTCCAGTTTCATTATTGAACATAAAAGGACTCCATGAATAAACCAAGAATGATCTGACCACCATCAGGCAGGACAAATCTAAAACACTGCAGAGGGCATGGCTACAATGATAGCAAAAATAAGTTAATTTCTGAGTCACTTGAAACTAGTTATTCAGAAGATTTAGACAGAAGTTGATACATTTGCAGATTAAGTCACAAAACATTTTAGCCTGTGTGCTCAACCCTGAAACTAGTTTCACTTTATTTTCATTTACCAAACTACGGGAAAAGGCGACATGTTTCCTTGAAAGCTAAACTGTTGGGAGTTCTCCCCCCGATGCTTCCAGACACAGGAAAGCATGTGACCTCTTTCCAAGAGGCATAACCTTCAGGCCTAAGCAGCAAAACAGGCCCAACATGGAGCTTACATAGGGTTTGGACTCCCAGCCCCAACAGAGAGCGGCAAAGTTGAGTACAAGTGGGTTGTGGGGTGACTTATTTACCCTAAGCTATAGTCAGTCAATCTGAGCCCGCGACTGCCACTCTGCCTCTAACTAAACCCTCAGTGGTCAGTAAAAGGATTTTCACAGGATACAAGGATGATGGGTGACAAATTTTTTACCAACATCAGAGTAACAGTCAGTAAAGTGAAACTAGCCTCAGAAGGAAGCACAGTGGACAGTGTCAAAGCCCAGTAAGTGCAGAAAGATCATGATAAAAACGTATAGAAAACCTTTTAACCTTGCTTAAGGAAAGTACCTTCCCCTCACCTCCCACATGCTCAGTGCAACAAAACAAGGCGTTGAACTGCGTCCCCATATTGCTCTGTGCTGGCATAACCCTCAGAAAGAATAAAATGACCTCTCTCACATGTTTCTATCTGTGAGGTCCTCGAAGTTATAGCCCCGGATCCGCTGGTGCGTGTCTGATGCCAGAACAGTTTTGCCGTCACTTAAGCACCACAGACACTGCACTCTCACGCCCTCCCAGGAGTCCAGCAGGTTGCCGTCCAGGTCCTGTAAATTTGAGAACAAAATGAGTATGTGCTCCATCTAATACATCATTTATTCTGTGTGCTGCAATATGTGAACACTCACCATAAAATTATTTTCTTGGTGTCCATTAAGGAACACCTTCTGGATATATTGCTGCCTACAGGAGAATGGGACACGGACAAACAAAAATCTGTAGGCCAGTCCAGAATAACTCCTACTACCAGCATGGCTCAGTTTTGTCCCAAAGTAATACCAAGAACACGGTCACCATAAAAACGCAAGCAAACAAAAACAAAACACTTTCTTTCTTCTGCACTGGGGGATACAGGAAGTCCTAAATCTTCTGCATATCAAAGGCCATAAGCTTGAATGATAGTCTAAAGAACAAAAAAAGGTATACCGCTCGGGTAAACAATCCAGATCAATCCACAACAGGTGCAGGCTCTGCCACCACACACAGTGCAATAGGAAGAAGGGTCAGCCGCACACCGGAGGATAGATGAATATAGTGTGTATTTATTGATCCATAGGACACACAAAACACCAGGACATGAATACAGGACCTGTTAATGCATTTCACACAATCTTAACTTATGATTAAGCACGAGATCGTGTGAAATGCGTTAACAGGTCCTGTATGCATGTCCTGGTGTTTTGTGTCCTATGGATCAATAAATATACACTATATTCATCTATCCTCCGGTGTGCGGCTGACCCTTCTTCCTATTGAATGATAGTCGGCCTGAGCGATAACCAGTTAGTGAAGCGAGACAACTGTGCACCCTTGTGCGATTCATCCAGGTTGCCAATATAATTTTTGTACTGGTAATGAATTCCCTTTTAAGAGTTCATTGAAGGACACAGGAATGGTTAGACTGCTGGGTTATACTACTATGGGAAATTAGCAGTATAATTTAACAGTCCAAGAATTTCTTAGAATTCCTGTCTCTAAATGGACAATGAAGGAAAAAAAAAACCCAAAAAAAACAAAAACAGGATTTTTTTTTTGTTACTCGCCGTAAAATCCCTTTCTGAGTTCATTGACAGACACAGCTCTTTTTAATCTTGACCACAGGCTTTCCGTCCTGAAGCCCCCTGTTCAACCCTGCTTCTCAGGCACTGGCTAGGCATGGCTGTTGAAATTGAAGCCCTAAAGCAGAGATCTCCTGTGGCCCTTTGCTTGCTTTCATCCGGCCCTTGAGGCACTATTCCTTTCATGGACATTAACAATGGGGAGCATTTTCTCCCACTGACACTAATGATGGGGCATTGTTTAACCCCACTGATGCCAGGCTATTTTCTACTCCCATTGGCTACACTCAGGCCCTCCTAAAGTCTGAAGAATCATAAACTTTGTTTAGAAACTCCTGCCCTAAAGGCTAGGGGTATCGACTTATTAAGGCTGGTTATTCCCATCTTACTCAGAGTAAGGAAATCCCAACTCCTGCAAGATTTACCATCACTTCTAGAAGGCTTTCTCTGCATGGTGGGAGCATGGTGGTCTTCAACATCATTTTGGCCCTCAAGGGATAGATTTCTGTTCTCTTCCAGAAACCCCTTGCCTCACAAACCCTCATCAGGACTTTTCTACAGGTACTTGCTCAAATCATTCTTTCAATTCTTGTTGGCATTTCTAGTTGCCCACCCATCAGCTTAATTGCTCACATGATCTATGAACAGGAAAAGGAATTTACAGACAAGTCAAAACTCCTATTATCTTAATCATACAGTACAAGAGACAGTTCCAACTCTTCTGTGTCTTTTTTTTGCAAGCAATAAGCAGTGATAAAGTGGAGTCTTTAAGAGTGTGTGGGGGCTATGTGATAATGCTCAAAGGGTGACCCTAGCAATGTTTTTTTGCCAGTGCTCAATACTCTGATGTTATCAGCACATAACAGTTTAAGAATACCAGTCCTGTGTCCTGAACTGTACTCCAAGGTAAGGAATTTACAGATAAGTCAAAATTCCTATTTCTCCTACGTTTGAGAGACACAACTCTTCGGAACCTTGGCCACAGGGTTATATCGCCACCTACAGGAGTAGGACACTAGGCAGAAAAGAACACAGCACTGTCTACTGGCAGTCCCAGCTGATATAACACCCCCTCACTGCTATAGGCATTCAGTTTGTAACCAACACTGTCAGAAGTATAACTCCAGGGATGGGTGCTGTGTCCACCAATGAACTCAGAGAAAGGAATTTTACGGTAAAAAAAAAAAAAAAAAAAAAAAAAAAAAAAAAAAAAAAAAGGTCTTTAGGCTTGACCCATGTTGACGAAATCACCCACAGCAGACCTCTTGCATGGGAACTGAGCAGATGGGACCGCCTCGAAGGAGGAAACCATAAGACGCAGAGCCTTCATGTAAGATTGCAGGGAAGACCGCTTGTGGGACCAGAGCAGTTGGCCCACAGTACGAAGCTTCCCAAGTGTGTACACCAGAAGACTACTGTGGCCTACCCTAGACGAGAGGCAGGCCTTGATACTCCTGTCTCCTGGTCGGGGCAGACTATTTAAGGGTCAGGACCCCTCCGAAATCAGGCAGATAGCACATTCAAATCTCCACACTGACCATTAGGGTGACCTTGAGGACCGCCCACGGGTCATCCAAATAGCCAGCAATGGCAATCCACAGCTGTCCCAGCAATGAAAGTCTGGAGCTAGCACTATGCAGCACATCCAGGGAGTTGAGACCAGCCCGAAAGGAAGCTCCACTAAATCGATAATATACGTCCCCAACAGCAAAGCTCTGGAACAACTGATGTCCCAAGCATCTGAGAAGTGTGCGCAACAGATGTCAATCGACACCACAGAACACTCTGGAGGAAGAGGGGCCATCCCTGAATGGATGGATTCCAGCACAAACCCCTGAACCTGCACGAAGTAAGGCAAGACCTACAAGATCAGGTGCAGTCTGATTGGTGAAAAAAAAAAAAAAAAAAAAAAAAAAAAGGGATGGGGTCAATGGAGTAAATCAGATTGTGGCTCGACCACCTGTACAATTACTCCCTGGCACATCAGATCCTGCGGCACGATGGTGGAAAGGGAAACTAAGGGAAAGAATTCCTCTAGGAAATAAGAATGCAATTCTATTGTTGGCCGAACACAGAGAGGTTGTGGACCTACTTGACGGGAAAAGGGGAGGTCCACGGCCCAGGAACCAGCAAAGATGACCCCCAACCCAGGAAACGGGAGGGGCAACCTGCAAATCAGGATTAGCAGGTCCAGGAGTATGTGGCCCTATCGCAGGAGCCTTAGAAAGGCACTGAGCCCTTATCTGGTAGGACAGATCCACCCAGGCCATTTCAGAAACAACTGGACAGTATCCCATCAGCTGAGTCAAAGCACCCCTGCCGAGACAGGATGCTTGGAAGGAACAGAGCAGCATCCAAGGATGCCTCACATACAAATCGCAGGCCCTGGACAACCTGGCTACCAGATCCACATACAGTGGATTCCGTGTCAGGAGGTGAAAACTTGCTGCAGAAGCCTGGCATCTTCGGCAAGCGACACCAGGAGAATGTTCAACCCAGGCCACAACACCAAGCGGGCAATGGGAAACTTCAGCGGCAACCGATTCTACCCTGCAGACCGCAGGAGCCCTGAAGGATGGAAACTCCTCTGCCGGTATCATAGTAGCTTGAATCAACTCAGAAATGGGGAGGATCCACCACGAATGGTGAGGTACGTTTCTACAGAAGGGTTGACTGAATTCATTTGAACCTGGCCCTACAGTGTGTGTGAGTAAAAACACATATGTGGATGACTGTGGCAGGGACACTGGTCTAAAAAAATAAGTTGATTTGCCATAAAGGAAAAAGAAACATGTGCATACATGGCAATTGCATCTATTAATCTATATTTCCCTGTTAGCTAAAGTATAGCCTAGAATGCATATACATGTGATCACTTACACATTGGTAGAATTGCCCCCGCTGTCCACCAGTTACAAATCGCTTCCCATCTGGATTCCAGGCCACACTTGTCAAACTGTCTTCGTGGGACTGGCTCATTTTCGTTCTCAACTCACCAGTCTGGAAACGAAAGGTGTAAATAAAAATACAAACAAAAACTGGCAGTGGTCTTTACAGATCATATTATCAGAAATTGTTACCAAGCTACAAGTTCTGTGTAGCTGCGTTCTATGGGGGCACTCGTCCAGGCTCACTCCCGAGCCACATTGTCTGCATCTATTGACACAGGCTTCCTCATCACTGGCTTTGACAGCAACAGGAGCCAATGGCACTCGCTGCCTCAGCAAAGCCTGAGAAAACCAGAAGTGAGGAAGACAGAAAAGCTGCAGATGGTCACAGCACTGGATCAAATGAGGGCTCAGGGTGAAGAGGGATACTGATCCCTAAACATTTTTAACCTTAATGCAAGGAATGCATTACGTAAAAAATGTTTAGGCTTTAAAACCACTTTAAGGTTTTTTTTAATACATGAACTGATGAGACACCTCACAATGGTGGTGATCCAAAGGCGAGTGTTAATTTCACAGCACATCTACCTCACTGCTGAAGTACTTAGCAGGTTTCACATTTATGGCAGACAACAGCATTATATGTACAATTTACAGAGTTAGGCCTTGTTCAGGCCCATGTATAGAGACATCAGTTTTTCTGCATGCATTCTGAAAGTGCATAAAAAAAAAAATGTCCTGTTCACAACACTAGTATCATGTGCAGATTTTTTCTGCGCAAGAATCTGCAATATGCATAAAACGTACATGAAAACTGATGTAAACACGTGTGCGCGCGTCAGTTTCCATCAGTTTTGCTGCACATTTGTGAATGAGGCCTAAAGCTTACCTGTACATTCCATAGCCACAGCTCAGAACAGTCATCTGGACCACAAGCAACAAGATAGTTGTCGTCGGGGCTCCAGGCAAGATAGGAAACTCCATAAGCGTGGCCTTCTAAAGTCTTGAGTAACTTGAGCTGGTGTGTGTCCTGGGAATGAAAAAATGACTTTATAGTTTGCTGCACAGACAAAACTAAAAGATACTAAAAGATAACAAAGAACTGCAATAATTGCATGTAAAGTGGGGGGGGGGGGGGGGGGGGCATCTTAGATAAATTAAAAGCAGGATCAGAATTTGCAGATCCTCCCTTGGGTGACCAACAAGTTGCATGAGCTAAAGCTGACAATACGAGTATCTTCCCAATGGAACAAAGCCAAGGGTTAGCTTTAATCCCTCCCTACCCTGATACACCTCTCCCCCCATTTTCCTTTACACACACACACATTCATTCTACTGTCAATGGCTAAATCCCCTATTATGCACTAGCAATCAAAAGTTAAGTCACAGGTTTTCTGAGAGGGGCCTGTGATTTGTTTGTTAAAAAGGGAGCCAAAATTGGAGTAGGAAGGCTGCCATTGCAGACCTCTCCTGAAAATGCATTCAAATATTAAACATTCCCTGGTCATCACACTGATCCAGGGGCTTTACCAACTTAAATCCAGTACATTATAAGCTCCAACTAACATGCTTGGTCTTCTTGTTTGTTACTCGCTATAAGTAAAACAAGCAGAGATAAACAAGCAACTAGCATTTTTAGGATGCTGCTAGAAGTGGACTTTATTGTATACACCATTTTGCTACAAAACTCTTTTTTCAATAGGCTGACAAAAACACTCTTTAATGCTGTATTTTTGTTTTTCCTCTTCTTACCCAACAACTGCAGTAAAAACTCAATGACATTGCATACGCCACTTAAGCCTCAAGGTGGCAGGCAAGCAAGCTTTATTTATTTTTAATACAGGGAAGTCATTGGCCTGATTGCGCCTGCTATGTCATAGGTAACATAGGATCACAAGATCAGGAACTACCGATTCCCAGACGTCAGCTGGTCGCTCTCAAAAGGGGGAAATTTATAAACTTATATCCAGCATGGGGTATCATACAGAAGGAATTTTATTAATTAGATATGAGCAGGAAGAGGTTAAAGGAAAGGATGACAATATAAACTGCGATCAAGCAATGACACACTCCTCACCTAGTAATGTCAAGCCTGCCAGGTGAAAAGGCAGACAGGACAAACCTGTATAGGAGGAATATACAATAACCCATGTGCCTGATTGACGTCCAACAGCAAAGGAGTCTGGGATATATAGGTCTGTTGGAGTGTATTTTCTCTGTAGAGATCATTCCTATAAAGATTCCTGTGTACAATTAACATTCCTATCATCTTATATAAAAGAACACTGGCCTCTTTATACTACAATTAACACTTCAAATAACTTAAACATCTACAACCATGTCAGTGCTGAAAGAATTAGGATGTGCTAAGCTTCCAAGTAGTGACAGAATAAGATCAAACAGAAGAGAATTGTAGACGTACACAAACACAATCTAATAGCGAGGGGTAGGGAATGAACGCTAAACAATCACACCTGCCAGTGTAGAACTGAATACTCAGATTCTTGCATCATTAACAATGCTGATTTGTATATATCCCTCTTTATTAGAGTGGCTTCACAGCTTGAGAATCAGGGATCAAAAGTTACCAGTTTTGGGTTTGACAATGTCCCGAAAACTTTCTCCGAGCTCCTGAGTGTGCATAGAACAGAAAGCAGTGCCATGTACTTTTTATTGTGTTTTGTTTTTTTTAATTGTTCTCTTAACTGCAGGGCTCTGTTACTTGACAATTTTGCACTTTTAAGGAGACGAAGACAGACATTTGACAACTGTCATACTACAAGTAATTCTCAAGCTGAAGAGTCAATTAAAAAAAAAACAAAAAACGGCAGAATTAATCATATATGGGACTGTCAATTTCTAATTTAAAAGGATGAACATTCACATTTTTGCATAAACACATTGCAAAGCCATTAGAAAAAAACAGTAAAAAAGGGAAGAGCTACACAAGAATACACTCAAATATGTCAGTATTGAGCAAGCAGTTTTTTTCCTGCACCCCATCATTCCCAGACATGCTCTCTGCATAGCCCATTCAAGTCAAACAACCCCCCACCCACTTATACTCACCATAGCCGCGTTCCCCCACCGTTCCATTGAAGCCCTCTGGAAATACCCAGAGCTACCAAGTATGGGGGAGCATGTCCACTCCTCCCGTTCTTCCCAGGATGCAGTGCTCGGGCCTCAGCAGCCAATCACTAGGCCCGAACACTATCACGAGAGGGAAGGGAGGAAGCCATCAAGGTTTCCTTAACCTGAAAAGACACAAATCTTTTAGTTTAGCCTACGATACCAGGCTGCAACACATAAAAAAGGGCAGCACTACAACAGGTTGAGTGCTGTAACATGTCAACATGCTTGGCACCAAATGTCAAAACTCAAATAAAACCAAGGCCATAACAAAAGCAAGACAGGAAACGTTTACACATTTCTCTTACATGACAAAAAAGAGGAGTGGGCAAAGCAGGGGATATTAGATTTCCTTAAGCTTTAAAGAGGCACTGCCACTCTGCTGATTTAAAGGCAATCTGATGGCACGAATCCAGGTAACCCACCCTCACAGCGAACTATACTCGCCTATCGGCACTCCCTCTCCACCTCCCCCTCTGTTGCTCTTGCAGAATGGGGGCTCCCAGGTATGGGAGAGCATGCGACCTGCAGCGAGGAAGCGGTGAAGGAATGTGCATTACAAGTATAGCTTGCAGGAAGGAGATGGGCTCTCAGAAGGCACAGTTGCTTTAAACAGGCAAAGTGACAGTGTCTTTGAACAGAAATGCAAGTCATACTCACTGGATCAACCTGCCATATAATAACAGTTGTGTCTTTTGATCCTGTTGCTAGTTTAGTGCCATCATTGGAGAACTTGCAGAACCACACTTCGTTACAGTGCTCTGTGAGGACTTGTTGTGTGAAGCACGGAAACTGTTTTCTTAAGAAAAAAATAAAATACACATACACACACAAAGTGAAGTGTTAAAACATTACACATACACTAAAAACCATAGCATAACATTTGTTCATCCCCCGCCTGATGCTGCCAGCTCAGCCAAGAAGCAGTGTAGTTTGCAAACACCTCTTTAGTCTATGCAGGCAAATCAGCTAGATTTCCAAATTTAAAGCAGATGTAAATGAACTGCATGACATTTAGTCTGCTGAACCACGGTGTCAAATATGGCATTTCTCAGGATGGGTTCCGATGGTGACAACAGTAGAGCATGCCTATATAATATGTTGAAACGGAAACTTGTAATCTCCATCAGAAGCCTTTGTGTCAGAGTAACAATGGAGGAGCACAAATGGAAAATATGGTCCTTTATTGCAGGATCACCAGTTATTTATGAAAGTTGTAGACTTTGGAAATATTTTTAGTAATTAGGTTTACATATACTTTAAAATTTTCCCCTCAAAGCATACTTGCATCATTAAGGATCCTGTCAGGGTGAATCTGCAGACAAGTTTACTGGGCAAAAGATGGAGCTAAAGGGTTCCCTGTAAAGAAAGCATCCCTTGCATTCATTTAGATGTACATGCACCCTTGGCTTGTTCAGTTAGTACAACCCCAAATTCAGAACAGTTGGGGTGCTGTGTAAAATCTACATAAGAAAACAGAATGCTATGATGTTAAAATATATACTTTTAAGAAAAGAGGGCAATTTTAAAATTAACAGCACCAGGTCTCAAAAAAGTGACATTGCAGTGCTCTAGTGATAGTGATCAGTGCCAAACCACTGCTGTAACCCCCCCCCCCCCCCTCTCTCCATTTCAGCACATAGTACAGTGCCCTGCGCCAATCACTGTCAGAGGAGAGACTTCACAGGCTGCAACCAGCAGCCTGTGTTTACATTGTGATGCTGTGATTGGTCACAGCGATCACATTGGCCCTTTACCCCAATCCATAATCCGCTGTGTGGGCTTACTAGTATGCGTTCGGTTTTAAAAACCTCTGTTGAATGTGTAATGTAGTACAACAAAGAAAAAAGCAGAACCTCTGTGCTGACCAAATATACAACATGGATGTTCTTAACTGCCCCTTATCACAATGCAAGTCTGAGCTGGCATAAAACAATATACTCCCTGTGTCATTTTCTTATCACAACAGCTGTTTCTAGTACAGTGGATGTCAATCCCAGGGCCTCTGCTTCTCCTCTGCGCCGACACCTACTGCTGTCACAACAGGGTCAGACAGGCACACTAAAGGGTCCTCCACCTGGTCCCTAACCTGAGTCAAAGTCAGGACACTAATTTATGAAAAAAGTACCCTTGCTAAAATTACTCGGGATGGATTGATCTCTTCCTGAAGGATGTGAAGGTCCAGTGCTGCTGTAAAGACGCCGACAGGCAGTGTAAGGAATAGTCGGTCTTAATGTGCAGGAAGCACTGTGGCAAGCACCATCATTGACACTAAAGCTTTGATGGATTATTCTGACCTAAGGGCCACTGTCCCACTGACACAGATTATTTAAAGGGATATTTTTTTTCTTTACTGGGTGTTATCTTCTTGCTGATACCAATGATTTGAGGAGCTATTAATCCCCAGTGGCTACCATTTCAGGAACCAATAACTTGGGGGTTATTCTTTCTTGAGGGCCACTATCCGACCAACACAAAGGAACTGAAGGGCTTTTCTCCCTTGGGGCCAGGAAGTCTCCAACATCAAATGATTATGGGCTATTTGTCGTGGAGGCCAGGATTCCCCTGACATCAATTTTAGGGGCTATTCTCCCACTGGTGGCAATAATCCAACGCCATTTTAATGCATTTTATGGAAGTTGTATCCCAAGGTACCCTTCACGCTAGGGACTCCCAGTACATCTCACTAGAAGTTCTCTGTAAAATATGCTTTCAGGAAAAAACAAAAAAAACAAAAAACATTCCAACCACCTGCCTGGAGTTTGCATGTTTTCCCTGTGCCTGCGTGGGTTTCCTTCGGGTACTCTGGTTTCCTCCCACACTCCAAAGACATACTGGCAGGTTAATTGGCTCCTGTCTAAATTGGCCCTAGTATGTGTATGTATGAATGTACGTTAGGGAATTTAGATTGTACGCCCCTTGAGTGTTAGGGACTGATGTGAATGTTCAGTATGTGTATGTAAAGCGCTGAGTAAATTGACAGCACTATATAAGTACCTGAAATAAATGGCACCTAGTTTAGGGACACTGCTTACCTAGACACCTCACAGAGGCAGTGGATGAAAGTGACAAAAAAAAAAAAAAAAAAAGTCTGCACCTGTACACATGGGGACAGGATTCTGCCCTCTTTCACGGGTATTAATAAAACCACTGAGGACATACAAGTGCAATCAAAAAGGCATTTGCTGCATGTGCAGCTTTTCAGAATCACAAGATTCTCTAGTTCAAAGGATTTTTTTAACGAATCTGATGCTTTTCAAAAATAACATTCATACTGATGTTGGCAAATCTTTTATAAAGTGAATGTGTTGTCAAACGACCTTTGGTCAGGAAATTGTACTAAAAAACTAATGTTTACCAACCATATCCGAGCATCAAAAGTCCTGCACTAGATGTCCATAAAACTGGTTCCATGACAATGCACAAGTGTAGCAATATATGGCTGCAGGTTCGAGCATCCATGATCCACAATGTTCTTTCATAAAATTGAATGTATGCACAGCTGCTCTTCCTTTTTATTTAGTTTTTTTTGTTTTGACCTAACATTTGCCTACCTGCTGCAGACATGATCAATAAGCAGGGACACAGAATCCAGACTGTTGTCAAGTTTTGTATTGTGATAGAGGCACCGGTCTCTTTGCAGCTCAACCGCTTGACGTAGCAGAGTTTGCAGGCGTCTGGGGGGCAACATGACCGAGGGTGGCAAGTATGCTGGGGGGCAGAAGAAATGCAGGCATCAGACATATCCACAGAGATGGCATAAAACGATTTCCTGATAATTTCTAATAAGAGCCTGCACCAGCTCTCTACTTGTTATACTGCACCGCTAGGGCTTGTTCACACAGTGTGATGATTGGTGCTTTTACACACTAAACAGTCACCCCTACAGCACAGTTTTCTATATGCCCTGCTCACATTGCAACACAGCCTGAAGGTGCAGTGAAAAGATGTAAACAAGATGCATTTTACTGCATCGCACAGGTAAGCACTACATATCACAGCACAACACGCAATGCACCACTCTGTAGTGCGGAGACATGAATAAAGTGTTGCTTTGTGCATTTTAAAAGAGTTTAAAGGAGAAGTTCACCTTTGGGAACGTTACATGTTTCTCCTGGTTTTAGGGTGGAACATTTATCATGTTCCCATAGCTGCAGCCGGGTCCACCACCCCTCCCCTCTGACAGATAATACGGGGAAGTTTCCCTGTAACTAATCAGTCAGATCTGAAAACAATGTGGCCATGCGGGGCTCCGCCCACACGACCACATCATTCATTCACAGACTTCAGTGAATGAACGAACTGCAAGTCCCGACAGCCTTAGCGGCTGTGGGCTTGTAGTGTTCACTGAACTACCATAGTGTTGTGGAGCGCCGTGGTAGTTCATTGAAGCTTCCTGTCAGAATATCTGCTTGGCCGTACATCCCCATACAGCAAGCAGATATTCTGACAGATCTGCAGGAGACCTGCATGGCAACAGCAATCTCCTGATCGCTGGTTCAATGCTTTACAGGCTCCTGTGGACAAAAATAATAAATGTACATTTATTTTTTACCTGCAAAAAAAAAAAAAAAAAAAAAAAAAAAAGAAACTGATGCACTAAAAAACACACTTCACACTGCCTCCCTCAGGGTAGCAGAAACAGAACCAGCTGACCGCACATTAAAGCGGAGCATTTAGCACGCAGACAGACCTTGATGAGACACAAAACATTCCTAGTATATATAAACAAGCTACCTGGAACCCTGAAACACCAAACCTACACTTGCCAAAAGATGGCTGTGCTTACTCACACATGTTCCCTAACATTATTTCCCGAACACCCATTTTGTTATGTTCGGGAAACATAGAGGTGAAAGCGTAGCACACGCCAAGGCCAAGAAGCTTCAGCATTTACAAGAGTATGGTTATGCACAGCTAATCACTTGTATGGCAGGCTGTGCACCACACCTGCAGCACCCCAAGAACAGAAGACTGCCAGGAAATGTATGCTTTCCATAAAAAAATATATGTCTATAAATCTCTGTGTGCTTGAACCTATAGAAACAGTGCATTTCTGGCAAGATGGTGGGTATTTTTCTGTACTTGGAGAGTCTTTACAAGGATGAATGAGCACATTTTCCTGTCCTTGGGCCCCTCCTTTTCTCTCTCTACACCTCCTCCCTGGGCCAACTGATAACCTCCCATGGCTTACAATACAACCTCTATGCTGATGACAGCCAGATCCATCTCTCCACTCCCCTAGCTCACATATCACAAATCTACTAAGCGACACATCAGCATGGATGTCACATCACTCCCTTAAACTCAATCTTTCTAAAAACAAGCTTGTAACATTTCCTCCTCCCTGACACCCACTCATGACTTTACCACCAAGATCAACAGCACAACCATTGGTCCTTCCCCTTATGCCAGGGTGCTCTGTGTAATTCTAGACACTGACCTCTCTCCTGGGCCCCACATCCAATCACTGACTAAATCCTGCCACCTCAACCTGCGCAACATTTCAAAATTCTGCCCGTTTTTGACCAATGACACCACAAAACAACTTATCCACGTCTTGGTTTTATCCCACCTTGATTACTGCAACTCCCTCCTCACTGGTCTACCGTTACACAGGCTATCCCCCCTTCAGTCTATTTTGAATGCTGCTGCTAGACTCATACACCTTACCAACCGATCAGCGACTGCTGCCCCTCTCTGCCAATCCCTTTATTGGCTTCCACTAACTTGACTTATAAAATTCAAAATACTAACCACAACATACAAAGCCACCTATAACACTGCCCCCAGCAACATCACCAACCTCATCCACAGATATTGTCCAAAAATTGTCCACTCCATTCCTCCCAAGACATCCTGCTCTCTAGCTCCCTCGTCACCTCCTCCCTACTCTTCTCCAGAGCCTCTCCCATCCTCTGAGGACTCCCTACCCCAGTATGTCTGGTCAGCCCGCACCCTGCCTGGCTTTAGGCAATCTTTGAAGACTCACTTATTCAGGGAAGCCTACCCCACTATACTTGAGCCACTTCCATCCCCTGTAGCTATCACCTTTTGTATCACCCCTCCTCCTTCCTTTAGATTGTTAGCTCCATGAGCAGGGTATCTTATTCCTTCTGTATTGAAATGTATTGTAATTATACGGTCTCCCTTTATAGTGTAAAGCGCTGCGCAAACTGTTGTCGCTACATAAATCCTGTATTATAATTTTCCACTGTCCTGCATTTTATTAAAGTAGTTGAAAAGGCTTAGGGTTTTTTTTTTTTAACCTTAAATGCATTTTATGCATGAACAAAAACAAAAAACAACACTGTGTGCAGCAGCACCCCCAGCTCTCCCAAAACTTACCTGAACCACATACCAATCCAGCGATGTGCATGAGAGCCTCGACTCTCCCAGGTGTCTCCCTCCTCATTGGCTGAGACAGCAGCGGTAGCCATTGGCTCCTGCTGTCAATCACCAGCCAGTGAGAAAATAGCAGGGGCGGAGCCTGCTCACATGCCTCCATAGCAAGCCGCTTACTATGGGAACACACCGGCAGGGGACCCGAGAAGAGGAGGATCGGGGCTGCTCTGCGAAAAAAAACTGCATAGAGCAAGTATGGCGTCTGTGTGTTTTTTTTTTTTTTGTTTTTTTTCTCCCACACACACCTCTAATATCACTAATATCAAGTTTACCCAGTGACAGCCAGTTATCTTTTCCCAGGCAGAGTGTAAGGCTGTAAACTCTCCTGTATCTCACCCCAAGTGGGACAGAGGTAAGTGGTGTGACCTCGTCCATGTGATGCCTATAAGAAGAGTACTGTGGTTTTCACCAGGACAGGAAACCACAGATCGCAACAAAACATTGTCAGCCATCCTAGTGCTTCACTGTACTAAAAATATGATTTTGTTAGCGCCTCAGCTGAATTTCCCATCTATTCCAGTTGTGTCAGAAACTGAAGGTAAATCAACTATTACAGAACACAGACAGTAATTAAAGCCTGAGGGAAGCTCTAATTCCCTTAGTGCCCAACCTGCAGCCCTTTGGTATTTGTTGTGCAACCCTTGGACCCTAGCGTTCTGGAGTTGGAGGAAGAACATCGATTTGTAAAAGGGGTAATAGCAGGATATCTGCTAGCTTCATGTTATGTCCTCAGATTCTCACTGGGGTTCATTGACTGGAGAGTGTAAAACCTGGTGAGATTGTGCATGGTAGCCAAATCAGCTTCTAATGTCAGGTTGTTCAATAAAGGACAAGTTCACTTTTTTTTTTTTAAAAAAAAAAAAACACACACACACAGCACTTTTTTTTGCAGGTACAGGGAACATGTTCCCAAAGACCTTAACCCCTTCGCGCCGGCGCCTCCCAGCCCTTTAAGGGTTTCAGAAGCCAGGAGATGGGGCGGGTTTTAGGGTCATGTGACCGCTCGAAGGAGATCGGGAGTACTGGACATGTGTGCTCAGAGCACGCAGGGCGCGAACTCTCAGCACATATGTTCTTTTTTTTTAATAGAACGCAAATGTGCGGCCGCTCGGTGTCTAGGCTCAGACGCCGGGAGGCCGCATATTTGCGTTCGGCCGGCGTTAAGAGGTTAAGTTTTGACAAAAACCTAGAAGCTGATTGATTTCTATGCAGAGCTGCACCAGATTTTGTACTCCCCAGTTTTAGAGAATCAACCCCACCGTTTTTTTCAGTAAATCTCCAGTCTTCAGCCTAAAGCTGTTGCATCTCCACAGTCTCTGACCATAATTTCCTCTAGTATATCTGTAGTCTATCCTCACTAGGATTACATCTACTGAATATTATGTGCAGCCTTTCGGTGATATCAGGGGCTGCAGCTGAAGCATCCTATACATTTAAGCTGACAGACATGGCTCTAACCAGTCAGCTCTCTTTCAAAACAAAATAAATAGCTTTGGCTGAAGCTGGACTTTCTAAAGCCGCAAATGGCAAGCTGAAATAAAATTTTAAGAAAATTGTACTTACTCTGTAGTTTATCGAGAAGTTTAGAGCGTGATGTTGCCCCTTTACCTTCCCACTCTGCTTTTGCACGAAGGTCTTCAGCATGACTACACATTAAATACCTAAGACACAAATATTAGTTGTAAATTAGTATTTACAAATTCTGTAGATTTGTCCCTAGAAAAAAATGCAGTGAAAGGACTGTCACAGCAATCCTACAACTTACAGCTTGGTCACTGCACAACATTTAAGTGTTTTGAATAGACAAGCTACTGACTCATCCAATGCAGCGGCTGCTGGTCAAGGTATCCCAGTGATTTCTAGTTGCATATCAAGTTTTATAGCCAGCTAAAGTGGCAAATTCTTTAGGTATCTACAAAACTGCCACAGAAAACAGACTTGTAGCTGCCACAAATCTCTCCAAACAGAGTTTTGGTTGTAAAGTTGCCCCTACCATTTCTATCTTGCTGGAATATTGATCACTCCACCTGTACGTGTGAGTTTACCTGCAATATATGAGACTGTTGTGTGCAAAAACATGGACTGTAGAAGGACTATGGAAATTAAATGAAATTAAAATGATTTTGCAAAACTTTATTTTTTTAATTTCCAAGCTACTGCAATGCTTGAAGGGGGGGGAAAAGGTCAAAATACAAAAACGGTACTCTCTGGGACTCAGATGTCTGTTCTCACAACAGGCAAAGTAAGCCTTCCATGTGTGATGGTAGATCGTGCAAAAGCAAGATGGGGAAAAAGTGAGTCAGGAGATACCCCTATTTTTCAGGGCCTTGGTCTCAAAAGGTCTATTACAGCCAGCAACTAGAGAAGCAGGGTGGAATAAGGGATCCTTGTGCCAGCAAATCTGGTCTGTTCGGAAGAGGCCAAGGCTCATCTGCTAGGAGTTTGAGTACCACACTCTTATGGGCCAAACTGATTCAATGGGGATCACCGAATCCTTTCTAGCTCTATCTTGCACAGCAGTAAGATCTCAGAGTGAACAGACCACTCCCCTGGTTGGTCTAGGCATCAGAGGCTTAAGAGGTCTGCCACTTGGTCCATGCCAAGAATATGGACAGCAGAAAGTGTTGTAATGTTATTTTCCACCCAGGCAGGTAACAAATGTGTTTCTCTTAGGGCAGTGCACCTTCTGGTGCCACCCTGGTTTATGTAGCCCACTGCTGTGGTGTTGTCCACCGACAGTGACTAGGTGACTAGGGGGGTCCAGTGTTGCAGAATTAATTTGATGGCTTTCACTTCTAGAGTGTTGGTGGGGAGTCTTGACTCTTTAAATTCCTCTTTAAGTTAACAAATTAAAGTATTTTTTTCACAATTTTTTTTTTTTTTTTACATACTGACACTAGTGCAGTACAGCATATTATATGACTGGTGTGGTGGTGATCATAGTGATCAAGGACATCAACTGGTGACATTGCGGGGGGGGGGGGGGGGGGGGGGGGGGGAATTTAATTTAATTTTTTTTTTGTAAATAATTTTCATCAGTAGTTCCTGTAACCCACCCTGTACTACTCTGGTCTTGGGGAAGATGGGAAATCATTTTTTTTTTTTTTTTTTTTTAACACTTTGATTGCTGTATCTGTAATTGGCTACAGCTAATCACAAGGTACAGAGTGCGGTAATTGACCCAGGTACCTTGTGATAGCTGTGGGCCATTCACAGCTCACTGGTATTGGAAGCAGAGCTGTTGACATTGTGATCCCACAGGGTACTGGGAGCCCTTAGTCATCTCTTAACCTGTGCAGGCTGGAAGATGTACATGTGTTAAATGTATAATGTACTCTGGACGGTCAGCAAGCGGTTAACCTTTACAGCAATCTTCATTTTAGGGAAACACACTTATAGAGGTAGTACTCCATTGTAAACATTGTGATAATGGCAAAAAAGCACCAACTAAAATAAACCACCAGTGACAAACAAACTAGAAATTTACACTTCAGATGATTTGTTATAACCCGAATGCTGCGTTGTGTTACCCATTCATTGCATATACACAGAGTGCCTAGAGCTAGTGGATGAATGAACAACAACCTCTTACCCACTGAGGACATGAATCCTCTCTGTATTGTATTTCAGTGGTGTCAGCTCACAGCGTAAGACTTGCAGTGCTTCCAGGACTTTGCCGTCTTCCAAGTATTCCAGGTACTTCTGCTGCAGCAATAAGAACTTCATCCGCTGGAGGAAAGGAGGACAATGATGATTACAAACAGCAATGCACAACAGACAAAATATAAAAAAAAGGTGAGGTGTGAGCAAAATACCTGTCAAAGTGGACCTTGCCTCAGATATTCTTACACTAAAAAGATACTACCAACTTGCCCATTTACGGCAATAAAGGGCAACCCTTGTACACTTTATACACTCCTCTCCAACACTCCACCCCACTGCTCTGTGACCACTACTGCAAAATACCATGTGCTTCTGGGATGAGGTGCAGAGCAGGGACCACTTGAGCTACTGTGATGCAGAGTTCAGGCATAGAAGCCAGTCGCTAGACCCACATACTCCCACGACGAGGGAGGCGATGTCACAGCAATAGCAGCATTGACACCAGGTGTTTTAGCAGGCAACTGTGAAAGAACAAGCCCAATCACAATAATCCCAATGCACACGTTCCTGACAGTGGCTGTTCAGAATTGCTGGGTACTGCAGTGATCACAGGCTGGAAAATATAGACTCAGTGTGAAGAAAGGTCACCAGCACACCAAGGATTCCTCAAAGAGGTAAGGTTTTGTTCCAAGGTCACATAGCGCTGAGGCAACGTTTCGGAGCCACGCAGGGCCCCTTCATCAGGCAAGTGACAGCCCCGTGATCACTGTAAAACACTCCTCTCCAGCACTCCTCCCAACTGCTCTGTGACCACTATAGCAAAATACTTTTCATTTTTGGGATTTGGGCATGGGGGGCAGGGACCATGTGAGTTACTATGATGCAGTGTTCTGGCATAGAAGGCAGTCAATAGACCCACATACGTCCAGACGACAAAGGAGGCAATCAACAACAGCGTTGATACCAGGTGTTTTGGTAGCGATTGAGGAACACGCAATGTGGAGCACTGGAGAGGACAGTGTAAAGTGTTCAGGAGTGTGGGCTTTACAATGTCATTTTGCTTAAAATGAGCAAGAGGATAGTGTCTCTGTATAGGTACTCCAAAGTGCAAGTATATCATTTACAGGCTATAACTGCATCTTCATCCCTCACTTATGACTTCACAGAAATCCTATTGCCAGGCCATTCATTTCAACAAAAATCTTCCCATAAGATACTTGCAGGGAAATAACAAACATGCATAAAATGTTAAATGCAAGTCATGGTTCACACTGAAATGAAGTCGCATGATTTCAAAGTTCAATCCAAAGTCAGATGGCAGTGAGACTTTGGGTGCAACTTCATAGACCTCTGTGCGACTTCATGCACAGATATCCATGCAAGACACTTAAAAAACTACAAAAGTAGTACAGGAACTACTTTTCTAATCAGTGCGACTCCAAGAAAGTTAGATTAGAATGGTTTCATTGCTGAACATTGGATGCGATTCCTCATGCAATTTAAAACTGTCAAATCGCATGACAATTTGCATCAGTGTGAACCAGCAGTAAAGGTCTCCTTTTGGTGTACATCAAAAAGGCTGGAGACTGCTGCTGGGTGCCGCCATCGTGGATGTGATGTCAGTAGTCCCAGCATACACAGAGCCCATCACCCAAAAGACACTATAACATTCCCTTTTTGATCCTGCTACAGCAGCTACATAAAAGTTAATGAAGGGAAGTGAGGGGTGGAGGAGATCAGCTAGCAAAAACAGTAGAGACTGCCAGAGGAGAAGAGGGCTATGACATGCAAGTAGTCAAATTTTCTAGCAAGTTCCAATCCATCTGTTGGCAGTTGATCTGGAGTCCCTTTTACGTGACCCATCCCTAAAGAAGCCACTGTCAGCTATTTATAAAGCAATGCTACCTACAATTCACATAGGTCTACATCCCTTACAATTAAAATGGCAGGCGGAGATTGCGGAGCTTGAGGGGGAGGATTGGGAAGATGCTTGGGACTACCCCTTTTGCACACTTAGTGGCCACCAGAGACAAACTGATACAATTTAAAATTTTTGCATATGGCCTATTTAACGCTAGCCAGGCTACATAGAATGTTTCCAGAAGGGGCATCCAATTGTTGACTCTGTGGTACCGCCTCAGAGAACTTCATCCAGAAAGCAGAGGTGAAGGGACAGAACTAAATTATGGAAGGAGATCCAGGAGTTTATCCGCTCCCTGAAAACCATAACCATTCTGCAGACGGTGGATGTGTGCCTCTCAGACCTGATCAATTCTCTGGCTGTGTTAGGACGCTCCTTGGTCTATTACTCTTTATGCAAGAAAGACCATTGTTCTGAACTGGGAAGGCGGCCCAATCCCCTTCCTTAAGTTATTGAAAGACACTGGTCAATTTTGTGGTGCCATCCTACAAATGGACATATATATCAAGGGGCTGTCCGAAGAAAAAAAAAAAAAATTTAAAGTTTAATAAAATTTGGGATGTGTGTTTAGTATCCTCCTTTACAGTTTTGGCCGATTTAAGGTGAACTGAGACGTCCCCTTTACTTCTGCTTGTCTAATGCTTCACCATCCTCCTGACCTTTCCAATGATCCCCAGGGTTTCCTGAATGCCTCCAGGAAGTAATGCCTGGACCGGAGTACCCTCCCAACATATATCCTTTTTATTCTCCTATAACTGCCAGGACCTCTATTTAGCCGTATATAATACCTAACCAATGTCATTTGTTACAGGATTGTGTGAGCTGTAGTTCATTTTTGTTGTTTTTTTGTTCTTAAGATTGTACCAAGTGAGCTGGGGAATGCCCAGAGGCTCTGTTTTATACCACCTTTTAAAACAAACGCAAATAAAAATTAAAAAAGAAAAAAAAAAATCTACCAAGTTACATAGTTAGTCTGGCTGAAAAAAAAAAAAAAAAAAAAAAAGACAAAAATCCATCCAGTTCAACCAAAAAAGGTTATAAATCCTATACCCACAATTGACCCAATGGAAGGCAAAAAAACCCCAGCAAAGCCTGATCCAATTTGCTCCTGCAGGTGAAAACAAAAAGTTGTACTCCCCTTAGTATGTATGATGCATGCATATTCTTAGCCCAAAAGTGCATAACTTTACATTTATCAACATTAAACCTTATTTGCCACAAGTTCAATGGCATCTTGCAAGTGAATACAAGTCTTTTATGGATTTCATCTCTTTCAAGTACTTATATAGCGCCCTCAATTTACACAGCGCTTTACATATATAAATGTACATTCACATCAGTCTCTGCCCTCAAGGAGCTTACAATCTAAGGTCCCGCACATTCATACATATTATACACATATCAGGGCCAATTAACCTATCAGCATGCCTTTGGAACGTGGGAGGAAACCAGAGTACCAAGAGGAAACCCATTTGGCAAAGGGAGAACAAACTCTGTGCAGGTAGTGCCATGGTTGGTATCCAAACAGACCACCCCAGTGCTGCTACATAAAAGTGCTAACCACTTAGTCACTGTGTTTAACTTTTGAAAACAAGGAACACTGCAAGTAAGCATCTAAAAAACACTTGACTTTACCTAGTGCATGTTGGCCAAGATGTGCTGCTTAATTTAATCTTTTGCGCCATGTAACACCAGTATACAGGGATATAATATTTAATGGGTGCAAATGCCCCACCCTCCATCCCCACCCCCCCAAACCACACAACCCCATCCCAAATCAAATCCTAACAATATAATGGGAGACAATACAGTAACAATACAGTTCAATACAAGAGGGATAGGAGGGCCCTGCTCCTCGGAGCTTACAATCTAGGAGGATAAGTGAGTTTTCAAAGATTACCTAAAGGCAGACAGGGTGGGTGCTGACTTGACATACTAGGGTAGGGAGTTCGAGGATGGAAGAGGTTCTGGAGAAGTCCTGGAGGCAAGCATGGGAGGAGGTGACAAGGGAGCTAGAGAGTAAGATGTGTTGGGAGGAGTGGAGCGGATATCTGTGGATGAGGTTGGTGATGTAGCTGTGGGCAGTGTTGTGGATGGCTTTGTACGTGGTTAGTATTTTCAATGTTATACATTGGGCTAGTGGAAGCCAGTGAAGGGATTGGCAGAGAGGGGCAGCAGTCGCTGCTCAGTTGGTAAGGTGTATAAATCTAGCAGCAGCATTCATAATAGACTGGAGGGGGGATAGCTGGTATAAAAAGGTAGGCCGGTAAGGAGGGAGTTGTAGTAATTAAGGTGGGATATAAAAAATGCGTGGATAAGTTTTATGGTGTCGTTAGGAAGGGGCGCATTTTGAAAATGCTGTGGAGGTTGAGGAGGCAGGATTTAGCCAGTGATTGGATGTGGGACCCGTAAGGAGAGGTCAGAGTCTAGGATTACACATGGCACCCTGGCATGTGGGGAGGGTTCAAAGGTTGTGCGGTTGATCTAAAATGGTAAAGTCATGAGGTGAGGTGGGGGGGGGGGGGGGGGGAGATGGGGAAATCAATGAGGAGGAAATATTACAAACTTGTTTTTAGAAAGATTGAGTTTGAGGAAACGGTGTGACATTTATACCGATATATCGCTCAGTAGATTTGTGATATGTGAGGATATCGAGGGTGTAAGCTGGGGAGTGGAGAAATAAACCTGGGTGTCATCAGCATAGAGGTGGTATTGGAAGCTATGGGAGGTTATCAACTGACCCAGGGAGGAGATGTAGAGAGAATAAGAGGGGCCCAAGGACAGAGCCTTGGGGTGCTCCAACAGATAGAGGAAGGGGAGCGGAGGCGTTGGTGTTGTAGGTTACGCTGAGATAGTTAAGAGGAGATAGTTAAGAGGAGAGGAAACCAGGGAAGAGCAGAGTCAAGGAGGCCAAGGGAGTGGAGTTTAATGAGGAGAAGCGGGTGTTTGTGTTAAAAGGCAGCGAAAAGGTCCAAGTCTAGGTTCACACCTATGCAGGTTGCATTTGATCCGTTTCTGCAGTGCTTTTTGCGCTTACAGTTTTGCAAAAACGCAGCGAAAATGCAACAAAAACGTGATACATGCTTTTCTGCAGTGTTCCCACTGAAGTCTATAGAACCATAAAGGCAACGTTTTGCGCTCAAAAAAGTCCCTGACCCTTTCCAAAAAACACACGGGGTGAAAAACGCTCAGATGTGAACATGTCCCATAGGAAATCATGTTAAATGGACTGTACTGTGTTTCTGCAAAAACACTGCAGGAAACGTTTAGGTGTGAACCTAGGGTAAGAATATAAAGTAATGGCCATTGGTTTTAGCAAGTAGTAGGTCGTTAGTGACTTTAAGCAGTTTCAGTGGAATGTTGAGGACGGAAGCCAGACTCTAGGGGATTGAGAAGGTTGTTGTTGGGGAGGTAGCAAGTATGGGGGTAACCAGTGCATGTCTGAGTAGGGAGGGAAAGGAGCCAGTGGAGAGGGGGAGGTTGATGTGGGTTAGAGAGTTTAGGATAGAGCAGGAAGGAGGCCTTCACAAATGTGAGGGGACAGTTGGTGAGGTGGGCCTCGGAAAGGAGTTTGGCAACGTCCTCAGTGGCAACAGCGTCAAAGGAGGAGAGTATTCAGTGTGGTGTTGGACTTGGTATGTTGGTTGGAGGAGAAAGCTTGCCACTGGAGATCTCATCACAAATTTTGTTGATCTTGTTTCTGAAATGATTGGCAATCTCCAGGGCAGTAAGTAAACTGGTGGGTGGAGGCAGTAGGGGGTGAATATGCATAAGGGTGCATTCACACCTGTAAATGCACCCTACCAGCGATTGGATGCAAGCATCCTAGTGGGGGTTCCTGTGAACAGTCAGCTCCATTGATAGCAATGGGAGGCTGCTGGTTTTCGCACCTAATCACAGCCACACATATAGGGGGGAGATTTGCTAAAACTGGAGCAATCAGAATCTGCTGCACATGCGTGTGATCGGCTCTGGACACAGGCAATCGGAGTCCAGGGCCGATCACTCACATGCAAGTGGCAGTGATTAGCTGGGAAAGCAGACCGTTTTATGTGGTTTTCAATGGGGCTGCATACTTGCATATAAAAGCAGGAATCCAGGCTGGGGTTCTCGCATCTAATTGCAGCCAGGATGCATTCAAAGGTGTGAATGCACCCTAAATCACAAGGCAGAATTAGATATCCCTTGACAGTAATAACAGATATAGATTCCAATGCTACGTAAGCATTTGCCTGAAGTTTGATATTAGGATGCTTTCATACACGAGAACAACTTTCTTTGATCCCTGTATATTTCTTGAAGTCCATCCATTTGCTTTTAAAGATTGCTCAGCCTCGTTAGCATTCAAGCTAGACAAGAAAACAAGGCTTCTGATTATGGAGTTAAGTAGTGATTCTGAATGTTCACAGTTCACTTTGCTAATTTATACATCTTGTTAGAGACTCTGACCCATCACATGGCCTCATTTAATGTTTCATTATCTGCTTTTGTAGCTTGTACACAGAGATCTCAGACAGATTAAACTAAAAAGGGATAAATAATAGAGAAAAAAAAAAAAAAAAAAAAAAACGAAAGACAATGCACAGTTTATCCCACAATGCAACAAGGATATTTTCAGACCAGTAAGAGGCTTTGGCAACATATTACAAGTTTAATTTTAAGTCACACAGATAAAAATCAAAGCAACTATCAGAGCAGCCAGTACAGCCAACAAAGTGTATTTAAAGCAGAAATGAAAATGAAATACATGATATGCAACTTTAATTTTGCACTTTTTTAAATTTAATTTACTTTCTATAATTTTAACTGGTGAACCTGCCTGTGAATGCACTTCTTGCTTCAGGGTGCAGGGTCACCTAGTGCTGCGCACATTCCCAAGAGCTACAGGCCAATCGTGCCAACAACACTTTCTGCCTTCACTGAGCAGCAAGAGGCATGATTTACAGCAGCTCTGAGGGCTGTGCAATGGAGGCAATGGTGCACGAATGCAGAAGAAGCTGTGTATACTGTAATATACTAGCAGATAACAGCCTTCTAAATTACCTAGCCCTATAAAAGGATTCTCTGAGACACAGAGCATCTCGGCATCAGTTCTACCTAAACTAAAACAAAATGACGCTTGTGAACACACTTCGTTTCCTTCCTTATTTCCTAAAATATCCACTATTTTCTCCAATATGCATAAAGAATTCACTCACCCGGATGACATCCGTAGTGGGGCAGGATGAGGAGGAATGATCACTCCCCGAACCTCCAGCAGCAGGACGACATGCCTGTGAAGAAAAATTTTACTTTCTTTAACCAACAGGCGTTCATGTTATTGGTGGAGCCGCCTTTGCTCGAAGAGTAGGATTACATTTTGTGAAAGCATACCCATACCAGACAACACAAAGTACATACAGAAGTCAGGTCACTGACATTCCTCTTCTGGACTCAAGTGTATCAAAAGAAAGCCATGGCCTTTTTTTACAGTTTTAGCTATACAATGTCAATGGGATCACAGTTCACATAATCCTACCAAAAAGATTAAAAGTTGAATACCAGATAAACTACCAAGGAGAGTGAAAGTTGAATATCAGATAAACTGCTAAATACACAGACAATATGCATATGAGAGTCACCTGCCAAAGGATTTGAAATTTACATTAATTTCTGAGATTTGCACAGCCATCCTGTTGTCTGTTGTATTTAAGTAATTCAACTGTCTGGTCCCTCCCCAGCCTGTGATTAGACAGTGAAGGGAACGGCATAAAAAGGAAAACAGAAGTTTCCACAAATGCTGCACATCACACAAAGCCTGACTGTATCTATAGTAAAAGTATACGCAGTCTGGACTCCATTGTCTGAAGGACAAAGCGATCACAGATCGCGCCCGATGCCCACCCCAGAAGGGCGATGTTCTGGGAGTACCATCCATGGACACCCTCCCAGAACTAGCTGACCGCGCTGTAGCCATCTTTTGGCTATAGCATGGTCAGGAACTGGGAAATCTTTATTAAAAATTAGGGATACATCTCCCTAGCTCAGTCAACTCTATTAAGACAGACCTTCAACGCCATATGCTTTCTGCTGCCCCCACCATCATAAGACATTGGCATAAACTGATCCGCCCTCTATGACTGAATTGGGTGTGAGAGATGAATGAGATTAAGGGACCTTGCATACGGGCTCCATAATTTACTGATGTTTACTCAGGAACTTGTGATGCCTTTGTGCAAGGGGCATAAACCGGTGTTCTTCATTGCTAGTAATGTGGCCCCTTGCACATGGGCGACACAAATTCCTGAGTAACCATCAGTAAATTATGGTGCTCATGTGCAAGGGGCTTAAACAAGTAAACACGCGAATAAATTACTGCGCTTACATGAAAAATTTTCTATTTGTTTTATCTATGCCGATGCTGTACATCAAGTTTGTACGGGGCTTTATCTTTATGTTTGTATGTATATAATAAGCAGTTTTCCGCATTGTACTTTCTAACATGTGGTGCAGTACGGTGGTGTGGTTGCTGAGCCATTTATTGGACTGTCTGTCCATAAGAACAGTAGAAGAGCGCAGGACATTCAGCCAGAGTATGTTGATTTATGGGGAATATAATTACCATATTTTTCGCTCCATAAGACGCACTTTTTCCCCCCCAAAAATGGGTGAAAAGGTCTGTGTCTTATGGAGCAAAATATAGAGCAAAATATAGAGCGACCGACCCGTATTTCCGCCGCGTTAGAATACCAGGCCGGCCGCTTGGTTCTACTTTGCAGAAGAACCTGTTCCTCGGTCCAGCGGTGTCCTGCTTTCACCAGCCATCTTCTCTCGCCGGCATCTTCAGTGTGGTCACCCGGCTTTGACAGCTTGTGCTGCACTTTTTGAATGGCCACCTGTAGTCTTCTGGGACCTGTCACGTGTCCCACAAGACTACGGGGAGGACAACTCCGCTTAAGTGGGAGTGGGTACCTGTCAAATTTGGGTACCCCCCCCAAAGCTCCGCAGTCTCTGGTCATCTCCTGTACTATGTCTGCAGTCCATTGGTTCAGAATATTTTTCTTGTTTTCCTCCTCTAAAATCTAGGTGCGTCTTATGGAGCGAAAAATACAGTATATCTGTCTCTCCTTCCTTTGTTTGTCAAAAGATATTATGAGCAACAGGGGCTGTTGGCTATGGTTAATATCTAGGAGACTGGACTATTTTAGCCTAGGGACTCCCGAGGTGGTGGACCTGAGGTGGTGGTTGCCTGGCAGTGCTCTGCTCTAAAACCACTGTATGCAATAGATAATACTGTGAAGCCGTGTAGTGAATTTTAGATTGGGCGCACATGCGCTGTACTTCCGCCGTGTCTGACCAGGGCGGAAGTGATGTAGGATTGTGTATGCGCAATCTTGTTTGTGGATGTGGTTCACTTCCACCCCGTGGCTATCAGGGCGAAAAGTGATTAAGGGATCCATGTTGTGTTTCCGGCAGATGACGCCATTTAAGCGCCCCGCCACATGCTGCTCTTGGAAAGCACTGCGGCGGGCAGATTATGATATGGAGTGATCTAGGAGATATGAGACAAACTGGCTGACATGACAGAGGAGATATTGGGGGATTCTTGAGCATGGCTTTTCTTTGTTTGATTACTGGAGCCACCGATTTAGAAGATATCTTGTACGGATATATGTGGTCATTTAAAGGAGACTGTTCATATTACGAAATATTGAGGCTTGGCATTGTACCTTCTATGCACGTTCTCTTGCCTTATTAGCAATATTGGGTGGGTGTTTGGGAAAGGCTTGCCAGATTTATTTGAATACTTTAAGAAACGGATAATTCCATATTGATTTTTATGTATTGTATTTAGATTATATTGTTGAACACATCTATGGCATATATCTGGTATGGACTAATCTACATACGAATATAACTGCTACTTGTCTCCTGAGTGACCTATTGTCGCTTGTGGTTTGGATGTACCATCCCTCTCCTTTATCTTCCCCGTCACTGGGATGGTCTCTTTGATCTTTGGTAGAGGATACCATTTGATTTGGGACATTGGGAGGGGCTTTGGCTATGGACGCGCATTCAAGACCACTTTGTTGACTTCCTGTGTGGGTGCTGTTGCCCCGCATCACCGTCCATGACGATATGTGAGTTTGCGGAGAACAGTTTTCTTTTTTTTAAGGATTATGGTGTTTTGTGAAACATATTATACGATTAATGATTTAGATAGATATATATATATATATATATATATATATATATATATATATATATATATATATTTTTTTTTTTTTTTCTTAGCAAAGGCATCTGATCTCTTTTCCTCCAATTTTTGGGTTCTGAAGAAGCCAACAAGCGAAAAGTGTCAGCCTTTGGGGGATATCATGCTATAGAAGATTATGCCGTTACTATTTGGGCTGGTTAGCCATGCATTATTTTTTTACAATGTCATTGCAAGATGCATTTCAAATAAATATGTACATTTATAAATACGAGTCTGTCCTATACTGTACCAGTAAAGTCCCATGTTCTTTTTTTTCCTTCTTACCCATTTTGTTTTACTGCTCTGTACTCAACACTGTATTACTGACTCAGCTGCGTGCATTGTCCCATAGACAACAATGCATCTCATTTCAGATCAGTAAAAAAACTCAGCATTTTTTACTCCCGTGTGCAACCGGCCTAAATCCATGCAAGAGATGATGCAGAGAGAGGAGGCACAAGTCTGGGCCTTATCCAGTTTTCTGGTTTCAATGGGACTACTTTCTGACCTCTGCAGAATTCTCCCAGTATTTATAATCTCAGAGGTAATACTTAAAGCAGAGTTCCAGCCATTTTTTTGTTTATTAAAAGTCAGCAGCTACAAAAACATCGTTTTTCTTGTCCACGGCGCCGGCATCTCTACTGTGGGCACTAGGCTGTGACAGCTTGCGGCTTCACGAGTCGCGCTACTCTTCCTAATTCGTCTGGCAGACTTCTGGGACCTGTGAAAGTTCCCAGGAGCCTGTGGGAGGAAGGAGGGGGCCGAACTTCCGGCTCACTGCGCCAGAAGTGGGAGTGAGTACCTGTCAAAAACAGGTATCTGCTCCCCCCACCCCCCAAAGTTGCCAAATATGGCAGTGCAGGGAGGAGGCGGCAAATAAGCGGATCTTCCGCTTTTGAGGGGAACTCCGATTTAAGGGTGGTTCACACATGGAAAACAGAACGAGGACAGCGTTAATGTGCGATTCAGTGCGATGAGATTCAGCCCATTCATTTAAACTGGGCTAAAATTGCAATGAATAGCACCAAATGTCCAAATGTGGTGCACCCACTAATTTTAAAAACACTGCAACCAGATCTGGGACAGGCAAATGCAATGTGTTTGCGAGTTGGGGAGTGTTGAAAAAAAGTGCACAGCTTACTTACATCCAAACATCATCTCAATGGTGAAGGGAACACCATGGTTTGGGCTTACTTTGCTGCCTCAGAGCCTGGACCAAATTGCCACCAGAGGGGAAATGAATTTCTAAGTTAATCAAAATATCCCAACAAGATGTCAGGGTGGCAGTTCACTAGCTGAAGCTTGGTAGAAGTTGTGTGATGCAGCAGGACAATGACCATAAGTATCAAAGTAAGTCCACCAGAGGCTAGCTTCAGAAAAAGTGTGCCTTTTGGAGTGACCAATCAGACTCCAGAACTTAACTCCGTAGAACTGCTGTGGACTGACCTCAAGAGAGCCATTCTACAAATGTGTCTGAGCGGAAGCAGTTTTGTGAAGAGGAATGGTCCTACTGAACGTTGTGCAGGTTTGATCCAGAGCTACCACAAAACACTTAAGTCATTGCTGCCAAAAGAAAAGGAGCTTCAACCAGCTATTAACTCCAAGGTTCACTTATTTTCTCCTCCCACACTGATGCTGAATGTTTAGTTGGTGTGTTTAATAAAAGACACAAAATTAGAACTGATTGTTATCAGTTTAAGCACATTGTGTTTGTCTGACTTAGATGAGGATCAGATTACAATTTATGGCAATTTACGTCAAAAGCCAAAATTACAAGGGGTTTATATACTTCTTTTGCCACTATATTTAACCATTTCCCATCTACAGGATCATCATATAACATTCTTGGGTTGCAGTTGTTACCACAGGATTAAACTTTTCAGCGGTCAATTCTCTTCAGAGTAGAAGCACTAAAATCACCTCTACAGCAGGAAAAAAGTGGACCCTGGGACTACTCTGGCCGGCAGCATCTAATGCACTGCACAGAGAGAGGAACAGATATTGTTCCTCCCTCTCTGCGAGATCAGAAAATGGAAG